AGCTCGACACCTGAACAGAATCACATCATAGGGGGCCCTTCCAGGTTGGTGAGATGTCGGGGCTTTTTTGTAGACCATCCTGCAGCTAGGCAGGCAGACCACTAAGCTTTGTTCTAAGAATACGATATAACGTGCCCATTCTGGCTGTCTGTTCTTATGATGGTAGCACAGGTTGCACTTGCCGTTCCTACTTGTAGATGCCTACCTTGCCCAGCAACCGCCTTGGGTCCAAAGGCCAAGCAGCTTCAGCTTTAGCTCATAGGTTGCTCCCCCAGGGCAGAAGGTCAAGTCGGGGCACAGCGTGCCCAGCACGAAGCCGGGTCGTCCTGGGGCTCAGGATGCCGACTATGGGGTTTTTTGGGGGTTATTATAATAGGACAGTAGTGGCCTGGGGATTTTATTAAATTGGCCTGCAACAACTGCCTAAGCCGCAAATCCCCAAAGTCAACCCTAGGGCTGTAGCATCTTGTGATTCATGACATGGCCCTGATTCCTGGGTCTGGGCCGGTGTCCAAATCCCGGATTCTGGCTGAAAGCCGCTCCGGCCGTCTCCTCTGCTGCACTGCTGGCTCCTTGCATAGTTGTAGAAAGAAGCAGAGGAAAGTAGCATAAGCAGTATGAGCATTGGCAGTTGTAGGGCCAGTAGAGTCGTCATCCTAGGTGTGGCAGCAGCAGCAGCAGTAAGAATTATAAGCACTGAGAAAGCACAGGAGAGAAAGGAAATGCAAACAAACAATGCCAGGGATCCAACCGCTAGTTCCGAAATCTTAAGCCTTGCAATACATCGATTTCATCTACTCTACCCTTTAGCTCTAACCATCATTAAATCTGCACTCTGAACCCCGAGGTCCTTCCGTCCAATCCAAGGGCTGCGGGCGGGAATCATTCTCGTGCAGGTGTTATGGTTGATTTCAATTAAGACCGACGTAATCATGACATGTATGCAGCCTGGACAGACCTGGAAAAACGCACACGGCCCCTTAGTGCGCGAAGATCGCCAACATCGGTGTTGTGAGCACCCCCTAAAAACAGACTCATGAGTTTCACCTGCCTGCCATGGCCCCCACATCCCCTGCGTCATCTCTTCTTGATGGACCCTGAAATCATGAAACATACCACAATATACTATAATATGTATACTATAATATACTATAGTATAATATAATAGTTTCCATTTTCTTTCCATTATCCCGATATACACCCCTATAACAATCCCTATATTCACCCCAGCTGGACCTCAGAGTTACAGGCGACCGGCAATTTCGGCCTTGGCTCCGCGTTCAGGTGCTCTACGGCAGCCTGTTGAACTTCCGCTAGGGACCCGAAGGCCACATAGCCGTCCTTGACGCGATTGCTATAGGGGTGTGTATGGGGATAATGGAGAAAATGGAAACTACTATATTATAGTATTATCTAGTAAATTATGGTATATTGTCTTCGTGGACTTGGCGTTGGGATTTTGGGTCAGGCATAAGTGTGCCTGGTTCAGCAGGTATATTCTGGGCTGGCGCGGTTACTAGCTGCAAGATCATAAGAGATTGCAGGCAACCCTGTATCCAGGGCATGCAGGTCCCAGTAGCTAGCACGGGCTGAAGTACAGCCCTCTGGAACTGGAAGTCCGATTCCAGCTGTCGGCTAGTACCATGACCCTTGCGCAGCCGCAGCACCAGACCTTGCAGGTCCTTCAGGGACGTATCTGGGGTGTTCTGGGGTGCCATTGCATACCAGTGGTATGAATGCTGCAGCCCATCCAAAATTTTGACACCCGTCTAATTATACTAGAACACAGTGAATGCAATGGCGCCCCGGCCCTAGTTTTTGCTTCACGCGCTATTCTGGGCAAGGCTAGTGCTTGAAGTGCGCAAGAATACTGCCCTCACGTCGTTGCCCCGTTGAACCCACGAGACATCAGCCCCATCCTTCTTATCGCCTGTGTAGCGAAAGATCATGTTCATGCCTCCTTCATTGACGTACTCCCAGTGGGCCGCAAGATCTTCACCCTCTGCCGGCAGCTGGATGTGCAGAGGAGTCTGGGACATCATATGCCGGGAACAGCACGAGTGACGCGGCCCGGGACTTTCGACCACTGCTGTCCAAACAGAATCCTTCCAGGAGGGATCAGATCGCTGGTATCTTGCCGTAACAAAGCGAGCACAGCGGCTGCGCAGCATCCGAGTGCCTTTCAGCTCTTCGCTTGGGCCGGAGAACGTGTTGAAAGTTTCCTCGGGTGGGTTTGTATTCGAGAAGAAGCATACCATCATGTCCGTGTGATACCGTGCCGCAGCTAAGAATGTACACAGCGCTTATTTCTAGCGAGCTTGTGAGTCAAGGATCTGCATATTGCAGATTGGGTGGCCGTGCAGTGTGCAGGTAGGGCCAAAGCTCTTTGAGAGGGTCATGTCTGTACAGGACGGACATGGCCAATGCGCTGTGCTTCAACGGCCCAACTCCAATGATACCTTCCTCCATCGAACAAAAAAACAGAACCACCACCCATGCTCTTGGGAGAACTGTTTGCGAAAAGTTGATTTAAGGTTGGACCCTAAACTTTTAGACCCTGAAGCCCTCTGCCTTAAATCACTTTTTTGCGACAGGCCTGCAAAGTCACGCCTGGAGAAGCCGAGCCGCTCATGTTCGTTCATTCGCATAAAAACCCTAAACCCTGAACCCTAGACCCTAAACCCTTGCAAAGTATTCAGCCGCCTTTTGAGCATCATCGCGCCGTCGCTGAGCCCACAACACCTGGCCGGCAAGGTGATTCTCGATCCGCTCCCTCGCAACCTTTGGCGAAGACTTTAGGTCCTGCGCATTATGCAGCCCTGAATGACTCTGAACAAAACTTCTTTCAGGTGCCCTGTACCGGCGTGCCAGAGATAGTACGATGTCTTTGTGAGAATGCCAGGAGCGGATGTCCGGCAATGCAAACAGCGAAAACGTTGTGCCAATGTGCGACAATAGGTGTTGGTAGTTTTCGCATACGCAAAGATTGAGATCTCTCCGAGTTCCGCTGTTCAGGAACCCGAACAAAAACCCGATCAGACTGAACCTCCAGCACAGGCCAAGAACTGCCCTGTTTGAGCCCTTCTCCACCTTGCCCAGCTCATGGTAAGCACTGGCCGTGAGTGGCCTGCAAACGAATCCGCTGGCTATCTCAAAATTAGACTTGAACACAGCAGCGCGCTTGCCAGGGAGACGCCTGACAAAGCCGACGCAAGTGCTGCTGTCCTACAAGAATCATGTACAGCCACTCTGAATTTGCGTCGGAGGCTACTTGTCCCCGAGATATCTGAGAAGTCCGGATGTGAAGATATGGCAAGAATCTCTGACAAGAAACCCGAGATCCCAAGCAGTAGACCCTAAAAGAGCTGGTCATAAAAGGATTCGTGAAAACAATTCCTTGAATCTGCCCATGTAACTAAGCTTGCGGCGACGTCTCGCCACACGTGACCTGCTTGCAGCTTTTGGGTCGTCATGCTGAGAGTGGAGAAATAGGAGAGGCTGTGCCGTTATCAGGTGGCGTGGCGCATGGACTGTTCCAGATGCAACTCCTCTTCTTATACTCCTCTCGAGTCATCTGTGGTGTAGCGAAGACATGTTCCTGGCAGTCCCAGTCTAGGATTTGACTGCTGCTACGTACTGTCACAGCAATTTACGTGAATTTGAGAAGGCGCAGTCAGCACCAAAGCTGGGAAATTGTCCGAGTACCCGCCTAAACCCTAAAACCTTTTGCATCTAGGCTCCTTGACGCCAGAGCCCAAACCCCTTAACCCTAAGCCCTACACGCTAATTGAGGATGCGCCTCGTACATCTCCACGGCCTCGCGGATGTAGGACTCAGCCTGTCCATGTGGCAGTTTCCCTAAATTCAGGGTACCTTTTTTGGGGGGGAGGGGGTCCTCGTAATGAGGATTGTAGTATATGGGTTCCCCCTATTCAGGGAACTACCATGCGGCTTCAGGGAAGAAGATCCTCCCGTTACTCAAGATTAAGTTGGAGATTCTCAAGCTCACTTGGACATTTGAGGCTCATGGCCTCAAACCAATCCATAAGCGATGAAACCGAGAATGGGCACCTTTCTTAGCGCCACATACGCCAGACCCTGAAAAGGCTCCTTCCTGAAACAGGAGTGATAGGCCTGCCAAACCTAAACGGGGCCTCCTTCAGCTGACCCAGCTTGGCGTGGATCTTGGCGCAGGAGATACCGGCCTCGCGGGCTTCTGCTGCCAAAGATGCCGCCGTTGAATGCCAAAGTCAAAGCCCTGCATGACTAGTATAACGCTCCTGGGACTGCTACTGGCACTGGATCTATCACCGTTTTCACTATGCTGGTTGGTGAGTTGCATTGCCTGGTGTGAGGCATTCCGAGATGACGCTCAGTGCCGCCCCCAACTTGGGCCTAGTTCTTCTCTTCCTCAGGGTGGCTTAGTGCATCATCTACAGAAGAACCCTAAAACCTGTGCTCAGCACTAAGCTCTAAGTCTTCAAGCCCATACAGGTTGCCCCGTCCCCACTGCATATGCTCTGCCTTTGCTTGCAGCGAGGCGGGAGCACCATTCGCTCGCTCCTGCGCACCCAACTTGATGCGCCACTTGCACAGCACAAGGTAGTGCAAGGTAAACTCTAGCTCTAGAATGACCCGAACTGGCGGTGGAAGCCTGAGCTGTGAACATACCATGAATCACTGGAACTTGGAAGTCGAAGCATGGTTCCAGGGTTGTGCCATCAAGGTTTAGGAGCTCATTGGCCGTGTCCAGGAAAGGAGGCTCATGCAGGACTTACTACTGTTAAGAGATCATGGGTGCATTTGAGTCTGTTCTTTACATCGTGTTGGAGCCTCCCCTCAGAGCTGAAACCTGGGAAAGGTTTTTCCTACGCTTCAAGCTTGTGGTTCCAAGAGGTCTGACTTTCTGCTTTAAGGCCACGGTAGACTCTGCTTAAGCCAATGTTTTCCATGCAGGGCACGGTTGAGGGTTGTGCCAGCAACACCTCCACTCAGGTAAGCGCGACCGAAGAGGGAAGCTGAGTCCAAGAACGAGCGGACTTCGAGTTCAATAAGTGGGAATGCGCCATCATAGCGCGAGAATAGCCCATGCAACCCCCACAACGCATGCACTCCCTATTTGACTTCACGTCTTGAAGACGCTCCAGGCCATTCAAAGCCCAACAGCCCCCATCATGCGGGAGCACGTAGGGGCTGATCCCTACTTAATGTTGGACCTATTTGAAGGAAGTGCGCAGGAAGAGGCCGTGTTCAACATGTTGTGACGTCCGCCTAAAGAGTTCCAGGCCAATGACACCAGGCCATCTTGAATGTGTGTTTGGTTTTGGGGCCATGCCCTTTACATCCAGATCATGCCCTTTAAATCAATCCCCAGGGCCTGTCTGCCCCTGAATTGAGGGGCGGTCTCCTTAGACTTAGAGAAGGACACACGGTGCTCTCCATACTGGATACCGCAACTACTAACAAGTGTTTGCCGATTCTTGCCATGCTGGCGGGCTGGCCTTGTAGAACTCATAGGCTTTGCGACACACCTGTGCCCAGCCCATGCTCATTTGATTCACAGGAATAAGTTCTTTTCTCTCGACTGAGGCTTTGGCTGGCAAGGCTTCCTTGTGCTTGCCCAGGCGATCCTGCACAGTGTTTCAGAAAGCAATGATATTGCTCTGTAGATAGAACAAGGCCAACAGACAAGGAGCCTGCCTGGTGTCTCTTACTCCTTAGTCCTGTGTCTAAAGGCCCTGAACGGAACACAATGTCAAGGCCACCGCGGCAACTTCAAGCACGGCGACTTCGGACTAGAATGCTTCCCCAGACCAGCACACCACGCATCGAGTCGAAAGCCCTCGATGACAACACATATGCCTCCACATGCAGGTTTGCGATGTTCCTGGGCAGTAGCCCAATTCAAAGAACACCTCACAACTCTTGCAGCCACCTCCTCTCCCCACTCTGCCTGCAAAGATATGCAAAGTTTTCGACTCTGAACCACTCTCCCTGAATGAATCCCACGCAATGGCACAGCGCTGTCCCGAACAATGCCCAAGCCAAGGAGGACCTCAGTGCAAACCACATGCCTTCAGATCACCCGGTGGTTTGCTGATCGGTTTCATTAAGCGTGATGCTTAATGCGCAAAAGAAAAGAAAGGGAGAAAGGTTGCTTGTCATTCGGGAGAGCCGCAGAGCCTCTGCCTGAATTCCATGATCTGCTCTTACGCATGAGTTCTTTCGCTTTCCATAGCTTTGCTTTTACCGCTGCTGGAACGTTTAAGGAATGCATGCCCGCCGGCATGGAATTCACTCCGCTGAAACCCTGCATGAAGACCTGGCACGGATGGCATCAC